ATATAATGGTGTTTCAGTAATTAAAATGTTTGATTTTCAGTGTTTCCACTAAATTACTTTTTACCAAAAATTACAAAAATACTCATCAAATTTAGAGAATTGAATATATCATAATGAAATGAACAAATCTGAGAGAGGTCCACCTGATGTACCTATATGTATAATATCAAAGCAATTGGCTTTATGGTTTTCAACAAGATCTCGAAAATATCACTTTTTAAGAGGTTACATTTTCTCCAAAATGATGATTACCAAATATTTGCCAAAAATAGAGGTTGAAGTTATCGTCATAAAATGAAAACATCTGACAGAGGTCTACCTATTATATATATAAAGGTACCTTATGTACCAAGTATCAAAGCATTTTTCACCAAAAATGACAAAAATATTCACCAAAAAAGAAATTGAAGATATCTCCACGAAATGTATAAATCTGATGGAGGTCCATCCAAGATACCTACATACCAAGTATCAAAGCAATTGAGCTGGTAGTTTTCAAGAAGAAGTCAAAAATGCAATTTTTGGCTGACGACAGCCGAACAATCAACTGTATGAAAGCTAGTACGCTATGTCATCTATGATGTCAGCGGAGCTAAAAATAAGATCCATGATACACATGCTCATGTCCATTACAGATACAATTTCATCATTGTCAGAATACGTATACATATATATTTGATTACGGAGGAATTAAATAAACAACCAACTCACCATAGTTGCTTGGGATAAGACCAGATTTTCCACTACATCGTGCTTTATACCAATCAGAGTTGCTCTAGTTTATAAAAAAAAATATATTCCTTGGTTAGTTTAAAGAGGAATTTCTTTTGTATAGTAAATTGTGTGAGACTGCCCAGCAAAGTGTATGTGAGAGTTTTCTTTGAAAACAAAAGAAGCAATTTGTGCTGAAGCGTCTCTTGGATAACTTCTGTAAGCATGTCCAATATGTATAAGTGACATTTGTCAATTAAGTTCCTTGCGACAACTAATGACAATGTCAGTTTTGAAATGTTTTTTCCCCGGAACTATGAAAAGCAATGAATTTGTCCTGAGGAAAATTTCAGATACATATACTCGTATAATTCTTTCTAACCATGTTATATTAAAATTACTATATTTAAATAAAGCAATATAAATACAGGATTGTATTTATAGTATGTGGGAGGGGTGCTGAAAAACTGATACAAATTAGTCAAAAAACATCAAAGACTTACCATATCTAGAATATATAAAGTTTCCCCTTCTTCAAAACTAAGCTCATCTGACTGAAAAACACAATTATTTCAAGAATGTATGTGATTGCTCCATCACCTTCCAATCAGTATCTACATAAACTATTCTTGGCTCAAACTGGAGTTCAGTAGTCACATTGCTCGAAACAGCAAAATACCACACATTATCTCTGGTATTCAGCCACAAATAACCATAAAAGACCCCGCTTGGTGTGAAAACACTGATACCTGACATAGTGCATTTCGCCACAGTGACCATATTGTGGTTAGGGACTATGTGACTGAACTGTGTGATCATGTTCCTATCAGAATGGCATTATGGCAATTTAATGCTCTATACTGGCATCAACCACGTCTGGTCAAACACAAGCACCCATGGACCTTAACCAAGATTCCCCCAAAGTCAAATTCGTTAGTGAATGAATCTCGTTCACTAGATTTAGCCATCCCATTGAGT